AGTTAGAATGCGTTTTTACGCAAAATTGAAATTCTCTCTTAACGCGAACATTTCGATCACGTTCGGTGTAAATCACAGGAAATTGGTTTTTAAATACAAAATACTTGAATGTTTAAATGTTTAAATAGTGAAAAAAGTAAAACTAATTGGAATTGAACAGTCAATATAAATGAGCAATGGGCATCAATGTCGCACCAACCATCGCGAATTTTGTCACCAATGAGATCATCGAACAAGTGCTTGACAACCTCGATTGGACACCAAAAATGCTAATGAAATATGTCGATGACATTTTCGTAATAATTCCTCGCAATAAACTTGACGAATTTGTGATTAAATTGATCGCTGTTTTCCCATAGAAAATCGTTTTTACGGTCGAAAAAGAAACAAATGGAACCCTCCCGTACCTTGATTTGCTGATTCAACGCGGCGACAACAACGACATCAAAGTTGATTGGTACCAGAAACCAACAGCCGCAAATCGCATTTTGAATTTTCAATCCCAACACCCTTTGAAACAAAAGGAAGCAGTTGCATATGGTTACTTCCGTCGAGTTTTATCGATTGTGGACGACGAATTCAAGCAAAAAAACATCGAAAAAATCATCAGCATCCTACGTGAGAACGCATATCCAATGCGTGTAATCAAAGCACAACTCAACAAGTTCATTCGGAATCAGAACCGACCGCCGCAAACGCCATCACAGCGAACATCGGAACCAATTCGACGAAAAAGATTTTCGTATTTCCCGGTGATTTCTGAAGACATTAAACAAGTGTTTAAAGGGAAGAACGAACACTTAGAGCTCGCATTCAAACCGATGAATCAATTGGGCGAGACGGTGTTCACAAAACTCAAACAAAAAATTGAAACACCCGACCAAATAAACGCTGTCTACAAAATCCCCTGCGGTGGAAAAGAGAATGAACCGTGCTCAAAGAGCTACGTCGGACAAACAAAAAATCGCGTTCGAGTCCGTATGTATGCATACAAAACGAGCACCAAGCACGTAACACCCAATTACGTTAAACCCGTTGCGCCCGATGAGAAAAGTGATGACAACAAAACAGCACTACCGATCCATGCGGAAAATACCGGCCACCAACTGGATTTTGTGAATGTTTCAATTCTTGATACTGAGCAATTTTTATCAAGGCGACTAGTTAACGAAAGTCTTCATATTTATTGCAACGATTCAATGAATTTACGAAGAGATGTTCAAGGCATCTCAAAAACATACGCATCGGTACTTCAAAGTGTTAAAGCCCGAAACAAACAATCTCAACGGCGAAATGTCAAAAGTAATGCGGCGAATCCAATGACAGTCACACAACCGATAGACGAAGAAGAAGGAGAATGATTCACCTCATTTATATTGACTGTTCAATTCCAATTAGTTTTACTTTTTTCACTATTTAAACATTTAAACATTCAAGTATTTTATATTTAAAAACCAATTTCCTGTGATTTACACCGAACGTGATCGAAATGGTCGCGTTAAGAGAGAATTTCAATTTTGCGTAAAAACGCATTCTAACT